CCGCCTCGTCTACTCTCTCTCTCTCTCTCTCTCTCTCTCTCTCTCACCTAGTCCACATTCTACCCCCCTCTCCCCCTTCCTCCCCCATTATCTCTCCTTCTCCTTCTTATACACCAACAAGGAAACAATGCACTTTTCCGTCCGCTTCGTCGCCGCGGTGCTGGCCGTTCTGCCACTGGCCGCCGCGTACCCTCCGGAGCTTACACGCAGCACGCGCGAGTTTTGCAAGACGGAGCCGAGCGCGGAGCTGCTCGCCCTCCACGAAAAGATTGTCAATGGGGATAAACCCACCATGGACAAGATTGCCAAGGGCGAGGAAAAGATTCAGGAGGCGCTCCGCAAAGGTGACACGGGCCTGCACGGCCGTGCCCACGGCATCACAGTCACCAAGCGCGAGACGGGCGAGCTCATTACGCTCGATGCCTGGTTTCACGTCGTTTACAATTCCAATTCAACCGCTGGCGGTTACATAACTGTACGTTTTTTTTTTTCTTTTTTTTTTTTTTTCACAAAAGAGCAAAACGGGAAGAAGAAGAAGAAGAAGAAGAGAAGGAAAGGAAATAAGAGGCAAGAGATGAGAAGGGAAGAAAAAAAAAAGGAAGAAGGGAGAGAAATAAGAAGAAGAGAGAACATAAACTAACAACCCACCTACAGGAGGCCAAGCTCCAAGAGCAACTCGCAGTCCTCAACAAGGCTTACGACCCAAGCAACCTTGCCTTCCGCCTCGTCGGCCACGACTACACCCTCAACGCCGCCTGGGCCAACGACCCAGACGGCAACGAAAAGGCCATGAAGACTGCTCTGCACAAGGGCGACTCGCGCACCCTCAACCTCTACTTTGCGCCCGGCCTCGCCAACGGCGGCGTCTGCGTCTTCCCTAACATGAACGCCTACGGCTTCGAGGCGCTCGCCATGGACGGCTGCATGGTTGGCTCGTTCTCGCTGCCGGGAAGCACGGGGCCCTTCAACGAGGGCCTGACGGCGGTGCACGAGGTCGGCCACTGGTTCGGCCTGCTGCACACGTTTCAGGGCGGCTGCGATGAGGAGCGCGGCGATTTTATCGCGGATACGCCGGCGGAGAGGAATGCGAATGTGGCGGTATGTCCGGCCGGACGCGATACGTGCCCCGAGTTGCCGGGGCTGGATCCGATTGAGAATTACATGGACTATTCCAACGAGTGAGTGGTGCAGCCTTCTCTCCCCCCCCCCTCCCCCCCAAGGGGGAATGAGATTGTGACGTTGCTGACAAAGTCAATATAGTGCCTGCTACAACACATTTACTCCGGGCCAGACTAAACGCATGCGCTCCATGCTATCCCTGGTTCGTCTTGGTCGTATTTAAAAAAGAAGAAAAAAAGAAAAGAATATTGCACGCTGTGAATGGAAAGCGGCTGTTGTACATGATTTGCATGACTTGCATGAAGATGTTGCATTGAGTGAAGCGAGCAGGTGTCGGAGTTGTTTTTTTGGTGAGAAGGCGGGTGAAGCATTTACAATAGGCGTAAAGTGGAGAAGCATAAATAGAGTGGCAGATGTACATTGATTGCCAAGGTGGTATCAGCATTTATTTTCAATTTACAGTAATTTCACCGTGGCAACAGAATCCTTTGCACCCCAGCAAGCATGTATGTCCTTTGGCTTTTTTCCCCGCGTGTCCATGACGAGATTCAGCCCCCCCCCCCCCCGTACGGTATAAGCAGTTTGACCCAATCATTACAGCCGTTGGGCGCCAAAAAAAAAAAAGAACAATGGCTGCAATTATTGGTGGCTTGCAGATGCAGATACGCTTTCATGCACGTCAACGCTTTGTCTCTCTTCGCGGCCCAGCCAATCCCGCAAGCCACAACGCGCACAATAACTATATGCACATGTGGGCCGTCAGCTGAGACATCAGCCACTCTTGCAGATTCTCAAAAGATGCAATTTCGTCTCAAGCAAGGAATCCTATCCTATATCAAAACTTTTGCACATGAATGGCATGCGTCATTATAAACATTCGCAGCCCTTGAGTATTGATTGGCGCAGGGGGGGGTTTGTACTTTCAGCCCAAGCCACAATGCCCAACGCCACTTACACAAAAGGCCACGCACCGGCGCGCGCCGAAAGTGAGACAATGCACATGTCAGAAAGTTTTGATTCCTAATTCAATGTACTCGTTTATCTAGGCAGTCCGAAATGGGAGAAGCGTTGCCGAAAAATGGTGCTGCATCAGCCACCTGTTACAAGGGCAAGTCCAAATGTGGAAAGAGAGAAAAAAGGACAAGGCAAAGAAATACTCGGTAATTAAAACAGAAGCAATAAACCGAGTACCAGTACGTTCAAGTCGATGCGCATACGTCAGCTATGTTTGGTATACGAAGAGGCCGTTCAATGGTCATTATATGCGCCGGGGTATTGTTGAGCCGTGTCAAAGGAAGGAAGCAATTCACAATTCAAAACAGGGGACCGAAAACGGCCAATCTGTCGCCGAGATCCAAGAATGGGGGGGGGGGAGGGGGAGCTTTTCGCTTTTAGTACGCGGCGAGCCAGTGCTGCCAGCCGAGCTTGGCCGCCTTGGCCCAGACAAGGAACGCGGCAGAGCCGACGTAGATGCAGCCGGTAAAGATGATGAGCTGATTATACTGGCCACCGTTGGCCTGGACAATGCTCCCACCAATAGGGATGCCAATCAGGCAGGCAAAAGAGACAACCGTGTACGTGGTGGCATAGTAGCGGCCGTATTCTTGCGTCTTGCACATGCGGCCGATGCAGACGGGCGCAATGGCGATGCTGGTGCCGCTGGCGAAGCCAAAGAGCACCGCAAAGATAATGACGCCCGCGCTGGTATGGCCGAGCGGCAGCCAGACGCACAGACACGCGGCGAGCGAGAGGGCGACCGACAGCAGGCACGTGTTGAAGGCGCCAATGACGTCCGAGTAGTACCCGGGCAGGGAGCGACCGACGACGGAGCCGGCGTTCATAATGGGAATGAGGTGGTACGCAAACTCATGGCTGAAGCCCATGTGGATGGCATACGTCGAGATAAAGGCGAGGGGGATAAAGAGGGAAAACTCGAGCAAAAAGATGCCAATCGTGGCCAGCGTAAACGGCGTCTGGCAAAAGATGCGCGGGTCCGGGTGCGCCGTCGCGTTTTGCGCAGGCGGCAGCCGCGAGCGCACGAGGCAGACACCAATACAGCTGCACACGAGGCAGATGAGAGCCACGACGCGCGTGGCCCAGCCGTATCCGATGCGCGTAAACAGGTCCGTCAGCATCAGGGGGAAGATGATACCGCCGAGTCCGCCGGCGCACGTGGCGATGCCCGTGGCGAATCCCCGGCGGGCCTTGAACCAGTGTCCGACGGCGGCGATGCACGGCGTGAAGATGAGTGACGTGCCGAGGCCGCCGAGTATTCCAAACGAGAGGATGAAGTGCCAGAGCTCTGTCGCGAGTTTCCATTAATTAGTTTTCTTGCTGTCAAGGTCGCATCGCTACACTTGGGGCTATATAGATATATAGACTCACCGGTGCAGAAGCTCATGCCAACCATGGCGCCCGTTACACAGGCGGCGCCGCTAATCGTGAGCCATCTGGGACCGTACTTGTCAAAGATGGGCCCGAAATAGACGCCGCCGAAAAAGGCCAGAAACGTGTAAATGGAAAAGATCCAGCCGACGGTGCCTTCGCTGTAGCCCTTGAGCTGGTTGTCCAGCGTGTAGGCCTGGAAGATGGCGATGCTGTTCATGAGGCCCATGGCCGAGAAGAGCGCAAAGAAGGCGCCCAGCACGACAAGCCATGCCGCCCAGCCGCCTTCCGGATACATTTCCTCGTACGAGGCGCTCGAGAGGGCCGTCGCCTGTCGCTCGACCTGCCCTCCGTCCGCACCATGTTGGGCATCAGCAGCGGTGGGGTACTTTTCGGAGGCAGCAGCATCGGCCTCGACTTGGTACACCGTGTCTGGCTCCTCGTGGATGGACCTCGAGTTGACCTGCTGAACGTCCATGATGCTCCGAGGATCTCAACTCTCAAGGTTTCTAGGCAAGTTGGCACCAGATCAAAACCAGATCGAAACTTTCATCGAGTTGCGGGGTTGACAAGCTATATACCCACGCTTTAAAAAAAATTCGCATGAATATTGGGCGGCATGCATGAGATTGCCACAATAGTCGTGGGTCGTTAGACTTAATAATATTGCGCCCAAGACCGTCATTCGCAAAGCCGTTGTCGGGGTGGAGCGCACTAACTAGTACAACTTTTTTTTTCCTTGGCCCAGTAAGTGTCGGCCGACCAGGCGATTCTTGAATTAATAAGGCTTTTGGCTCGAGTTGCGGAACGAAGACCCGGCTCTGGGTCCCTGGTCCGTCGCCGAGTTGGGGGTAGGGCGCGCATCATGTTTTCTGATCCATACCCACCGCCACCACATCCAATGCGCCCTCGAAGCTTGCTTCTCCTCATGGTCATTGGGACGGTATTTGACAACCGACTCTGTTTTCCGGGCATCAGACATTGTTGCTTGTATACATACATGGAAGCTGTCCAGGCTCATATCATCATGCGTTGGTCGATTGACGTCATTCTTCATCCTCTACATCCTCTATGGTGACTCGCCGCGACGCTGATGCGTCTTCTGCTTTTTGTGTTTCCCGCTGTTTCGATGGTTTCGGAATGTACCCTTGCTTCTCCAGGGCGTCGGCTTCTTCTGGCTCCATCAAGCCGCCTTGGCCAGCTAACTTGGTGAGCTTGGACCGCACCGCCGACGGCATAAATGCAGACACCGCTTCCTTTTGCAGATTGCGCGTGACGGGCGCCGCCTCATATACCGTGCGAGACTCGACCGCTGGCTTGTCCTTCTTGGCGTCACCCTTGTCGTCTCTCTTGTCCACGCCTCCAGACCGCGCCGCCTGCTCGGCGTTTCGCTGCGCGCGTCGCTTAGCATACCACGCGTCCAGTATCTCTTTCGGTATTGGTGGTGGCGTATCGCGAGGCATGGGTATGCTCTTCACAGCGTCTGGCACGTCCTCGTCACTGCTGGATGCGCCTGAGGAGCCGCGCCTGCGCTTGCCCAGCACGCCGCGCTTGGCTTCACCATCCCGGTTCCATGCACGTCCAAATACGGGCGCCTTATCTCCCAGCGCATCTCTGGCCTTTTTCACCGACTTGATCTCCTTTTCCAGACCTTCCAGCACCTGTTCTTCGTGGCGGCTGAGCTTGCCGCCTCCCTCTGTTATTTTTTTCAGGTCATCAATCTGCCTTTGTATTTGGTCCGGGTTCTTGCGCGCAAGTCGTTCGTTCCGTCGCTCTTGAGCTTCTGATTTGCCTGCAGAGAGTTGTCAGCCCCGACGTGGTCGCAATCGCAAGTTCGTTGCCCACCTTTTTTTATTGCCTTTGCCTTGTCCGCTTTGCGCTGGGCGGCCACCGGGTTGTAACTTTTCTCCTTAGCCATTTTGGCCTGTATTGATGTTCGCACACTGCTTCGTATCAAAAAAGATATCCCGGCTCTGAAATGAAATAGGCGCACCAGGAGACTTTGTTGCAAACGCCAGGTTCGACCTGTCGCAGAAGCCGTCATGCGTGGGGCAACAGGGTTACTAAGCATATCTCATCCTACCCTGCACCACCGCATCGTGAATCCTAAGCCTTGTTCAGATGCTTCGCTAACACCCCTAGGGGTAGCTGTGGGTTTCTGGGCTGTCCTTTTGTCTATTTGATCTTTCTTTGGAAGTCGTAGATTGTGTTGCAGAGTCCCCTAGAGCGGTTTGTGTCGCTAATGAAGTTCCCAGACCAAATATGCAGAGCGGAGGCAGCCTTTGTCGTCGATCAAAGAGAAACAAAAGAGGAGTGTTCAAGGTTCGCCATGTACTAAACAGGCCACCAACCGGATAGGATCAAACACGATCGCTCATGCATGCATCCGCATCTGCTACGATTTGTTTTGACCAAGGTGACGCGACAGAGCACGACTACCCTCACTGTTGCGTGTGCAACGATGTGACTACATGTAACTGCATCAACACAGGAGTATCTTCATGCGTAATCTTCGAAGACCGTGCTGGATGTGGCGCGGCCGTTAACAGTGAAAATGCTGTTTCATACCCGGACGGCGAGCGGCTAAATATAAGTCTAGATGCAATGCCGGTAAAAAGACCTGCATATTGCCCAGCCGCCGCAGAAGCAGAAAATACGAGCACCGCAAAGGGGCAAGACAACATATCGTAGCACCATCCAAGGAAAGCATATACTATTGAAGATGATGGATCTGCTCTTGATGCGTGACGACTGCATGGATCTTTGAACTATGGAACGCGTGACGGAAGATCCGCCGGGCGTCTGTCGGGGGCTCCATGGAGACTTTCCTAGCCCGTCGTGTTACTCGTACGTCACGCTGATGATATAAACTCCAAAGTCGAGGACTGGATTCCTTCTATCAAATCTGGTCACACATTAGTTTAATATCAGCCTTGGGAGCCAATCATACACCTTTGGTTTCACACAGGTGGTGTTCCGAGGTCGGCTCCGTCTGATGCACAACATGGTTTAGTATTCTTGTAGCAGCTCGTGTTGGCCGGGACCGGTAGCTCGGCACACAACGGGTGTAGTCTATCAGTAGTCGTCTTGTTGCAGCTGGCTTCTGTTATGATCAGGGGTAGTAAAGTTTCTGGACGCCCTGACGGGAGAACCATGTAAACGGCGCTTCTCTGGCGCTGATCAGGACAAGGTAGAGAGTGAAATCGATGCTAATCAGTCTCTCTGTCAGCCACACTAATGGTAATTTGGGATGGCCCGGGTGGAAGTCATGGCTGGCTGGTATGGTAATGTGGCTCGTCGGGCCGGGAGAGCGGGCAGAGGTTGCCACGCTGCGGGATACCCATTCTGGCGGAGACGCCACGAGGCGGCGGCACAACTACAGCATCCCACAAAAAGTTGTAGTTAGTTTACGCACAAGCTTTTGGCAGCACACAGACCTCTGCGACCAGGGAGAGGCAAGAATATGCACCGAAAGCTCAGGCTCCATCCGAACATGGGCTTGCTAAGGTTCCACCCATGTGCAGCTGGTTGCTAGTCGGTCACGAATCAGGACGGCTAACGTGTGCGTGATGTTGCATTCAGCTGTGGATGCTAGCTTGAGAGATATCTGTGGTTTCTTGTAGTCCAAGACGCTTTGGCAGAACCGTGTCTGGACCAACGGGTAACTGGCCGCGCAAGGTCTAATTGGTGTGCATGCTGGTGTATGGCACGCAAAGACGGCAAAGAAGCGCCACAGACAAGTCAGTGTGTGCTGCTGCCGCTGCTGCAAGTGCTGCAAAGAAGGTCATATGGTGGTTGCAGGCTTGCAGCGATGCATGCGACGGGGCGGTTGGTCAAGGCAGGAAGCATGTGTAGCACAACGACGGGGCAGCTGTCGCGGAACAGTTAGCGACCCATCTTGCCATCTCAGTCCGACGCGCATGCGCCGGGGACGGGTAGCCTTGGAGGGGTAGCCCGTGAAGCGAAACTGAGTCTCGGAAGCGAGAGGTGCAGCATTGTGGCCGTCATCCTCAGTCTAATGTATGCAGACGAGGGTCAGAGGTGTCGTCGCGTCAGATTTGTCTGAAGCAGTTGTCAATTGATGAGCAAGCCACAGAGAGCACAGCCAGGACAGCACAGCACAGCGTCGAGCGTGAACACCAACGCGTGCCGCGTCGTTCCAGAACAGCGACTGGGTTGATGAGGACGGCGACTGCGAGGTGCAAATTTAGCTAGTGGCGATTGAAGGCAATGGAGCCTCCCAACTCCTTATGGAGGTTGGACTGGTGAGTGGGCACTTGACGTTGGCGTCGGCGCAATAAATAGTGCAAGTATGACACGAGGAGCTGGCGGGATGGATGAGGGGGGCGATGGGAGTAGAAGTCGGGGCTATGAAGAAGCGAAGATAATGGAGTTGAAGATGGAGGTGGACAAACGTTGGAGATGGATTTGTTGGTGTTTCGAGAGATCAAACGTGGGCAGCGGTTTAGCTGGCAGCTGGCAAAGGATGGATGCGTGATGGGCAGCTGGCAGACAAACAGGCACAGGCCATAGGTACAGGTTACGAGGCCGTCGAGTGGTGGCTGCAAGATCAGCATGATGGTAGCCTGCACCCGGTAGGTGGGAGTGGATTGCATTGCAGTACTGTGCGTGTGTGCGCATCTCTGAACGATGCCAGCTCAAGGATGCGCATCGCGAAACAGGCAACTTGGCACACCTGGCCAGGCGGCGATGTGGCACTGGTAGGCGACTGACTGAGGTGGCCGGAGGGCTCGTCGGGAGAATTTGGAACCAAGCTCCGTTGCCGGCCTCGGGCGGGAGCCGGCTACTGAGTGCAGGAGCCGGATTTGCAGCGAGCGCAGGGCAACAGCAGCAACGGCAAGCAGCAACGGTTACGGCGTGCAGCGGCATGTCAGTCGAGATTTGCAGGGTGCTGGGGGCTAGAAGAGAGACCCGCCGCCACAAAAAACTACAGGACAAGTCGTATTTAGCTGCTTAGATTCATCTAGTGGGCATGCACCGCATGGTGGCATGCAGCCAGCGCTAATACTGGTGGTTGAGTGATTGCGCTACTTGTGCCGCGCAGGCTAATAGGCTCCCCTTCCTCTCAGCCCCAGACCTGATTGGACACCACCCTGTCTCACTAAGAATTGCCATGCGACCCGCTAACCAGATTTCCACTTGCACATGCTTTTCGAACGACGCCGTGGTGCGATGATGCGGATGATGCGTGGGACACCGTGGTTCATCTGGGGGATGAGGGATAACAAGGGTAAAGTCGATGTACTGTTGCGCAGAAAAGCGCAGATACAAAGTGCCATTATGGTGGGCAGCCTGCGACGACGAACTGAAAAATCCTCGGTAAAGGCAACGCCGACGTCCCCCACATTTGCCATACTAAGTAGACTTGGGAAACTTTGTCGGCTTCTTGGCAGATGATGGGCGCCGGCCGGGACGAGTTAGAGCAAGGTGGCGATGGGGATGCGCAGATCTGAAGTGCTTGTGGTGGCATCGTGCGTATGGGCACGAGGGCAGGGGAGCCAGATGGGACTAGGCACGAGATGACGTCGCACAGAACTAGGTTAGGTGAATAGAGCAAGTTTATTGAGCGACACAGAGTTGAGAAATCGCGTTCCGGTAAGTATAGAGTTGTTCGTGGGGTCTAGAATCAATAACAGTATTAGGTAGGTACCTGTCTATGTATGCGCCCCGGTACAATGCCTAGCATGCTCTGTAGGTAAGCACAGCATGTGGTTGTGGTGCAGCATTGGACACATTGCTGCGAGGAAAAATGAGAAGAAAAATAGACGTCAAAACCATAGACAGTATCACAGCCAGTTTCACAACGCAGCGAAGTCCTCCATATCCATCCGAATCTATTAGTTGATATGCAACGAGAGCCGGAAACCTGCCGTGTGCACCACTCGCACTTTTAGGGGACTTGCAGGGGTTACAGGGGATGACCTGGGAGCTGTTATGGATGTGGCCTGCTGGAACCCCCCGCGTAGTGGAGTCTCAGTGCCGCCAATACAGCCTCGTCCCCCGCTTGCAGCGCTAGCACGAGCAGCAGTACCAATCACCACGTCTCTGTGATATTCTTGACTCTGAGTGCTCTGTTATTTAGCACCCAAACCACCCAAGGCAGGTGTCGGTACCACCGCAACCACCAACAACCTGCAGGCATTCCCATTTCCAAGCAGAAATATAGGTGTTCACGGCCCATCATCATCCTCCGCGCGCACTAACTCCGGAACCGCCTTGTTTTGCTCTGCGCTGTTTCCTCTACCTCTGCTAGGTGGGGGTGGGAACACATTCTCCACCCAGTCGAGTCCCTTCAGTCTCCGTTTGACATCTTTTTGTTCTCTCTCAACACTCCCACGTTCTTCTCCGTCCGCCTGCCATCTACCCATCCGTCTCAGATTCACCGGCGGTAGCTCTTCGCCGAGTCGAAAGAATTAAATCAAGCCCACCGCTGTACAGTTGAAACCATAGCTCCCCTAAAATTCTCTTCGCGGACTCTCTCCGGTAAGCCAAAGTACTGAGCCCTTTCGATCCAGCCCTCTGACGCAAGTTCAAGGCGAACGAAGCGCTCCGATCGGACGGCCTCTCGCTTCAGCTTGGTGCAAGCAGCCCCGCTCCGCCGCCCCCGACGCTGTATTCTGTTGCTGGGAACTACCTAGTTACGGTACTTAATTTACCTGACGGGTAGGTAATTGCCTGAGCCACTGAAAGGCGGCCCCCGACCGAACTGTCATCTGTGCCGGATTGCACCAGATCTGCTGGCACCGCCTTTTACCAGACATTATTCGAAAACATCATTCAGAGGCATCCTTTGGGGCAGTTCTTCAGAGGAATTCTTGGAGCAACTTTTCAGAGGTATTCTTCAGCGGCGTTCTTCTCCTTTGCGCCATTTCCGAACCGCTGCAATCCTCAACATATAGCGCTACCTGGGCACCTACCTTCTACATAGGTACAGCCGCTAAATCCGCGCACTCTCGCCCATTCCAGCACTACCTACTCAGGCTCTAGCTGCCCGGCACCACCAAAACTCTCTGTCTCTTGTCTTTCTCGCTCTCCGCCTCAATTTCGCTCGCCCGCCGCCTTTCATTCTCTCCGACTTTCTTTTTTTCTATTTCCTCTCCCCACCGCGCCGACTTTGTCGCCCACTACAACAACATATATTCGCCATCGCCATTCTGCCCCCAACTCATTCTGGTCGTTCCCTTTTGTCCGTTCGGTCCACTCTTGCATCTGCCAGAGCGACGTCTGGGACCTCGTCATGCATCCCACAACCACAGAGCACGACTACCGCTTTCCGCGAAGACCCGATGCCACAGCCATGACTGACGACGTCTCGACCGACTCCAGCCCGCGCGCTACCCTCGCTGCCAACAACTCTTCCGACACTGCCTCCCAGTCTTCTCGCGCTCTCGACCTCGAAAGATCTTTTTCCAAACATGATAATTTATTCGGCGAAGCGCTGTTTCCCACCCTCCGCGATGGCGATGGCGCCTCCGGCGCCAACCTCGACCAGATGCAATCCGACGATCCTCTCGCCGCCCAAGTCTGGAAGTTCTTCAGGAAGACCAAGCAGAATCTCCCTAACCAGCAGCGCATGGAAAATCTTACTTGGCGCATGATGGCTCTCAGCATGCGCAAAAAGCAGCAAGAGCAGCGCAGTCGACAAAAGTAAGTGACGCCGCCTCATCTCGTTCTGCACTTTTTATTCTTTCACGTCCTTCATCGCCTTACATCTGTTTTCTCGTCTACCTCGCCAAACTACTTTTCTGCTATTTTTCTCTCCGCTTTTTCTTTTCCATATTGATGACCCCTGTGGCGATTTGTTGTATCACTTTCTGTCCTCAAAAAAAGAATATCAATATCCCTATACCTCTCAGCCGCTTGCCATTCACCTATTTTGCCAAACCGACGCTGACTTTCATCCTTTTACAGCAGCATTACCCGTCCAGGCGCCCAGTCTGGTCCCAGCGGGATTGCTCAGCTTCGAAAATCCTCTCAGGCCAACGCTGCTGCTGTGCCCCAGAACCCAGACCAAATGAACATTGACGAGTTCATCTTTCCAGAGCAGACCGGCTCGCCTGCCGGCTTTGCTCCATCCCACATGTCTGACTCCGTGTCTGCCGGCCAGCCCTCGGGCATTCCCATACATCAGCAACCAAGGAACGATGCGCTCGGTAGCGCCTTTGTTCCTCAGTCTGTTCCCGATGCGCCTCACCTTCAACATCGTGACAACAGCGAGTTCAACTATGTTCAGCGCCGTGTCCGCAAGACCAGTATAGACGAGCGCCAGGTTCGTTGTCTCCTTCTTGATGCGCGCTTTATAGCGCTATTGATGCTCATTTCCCGCTTACCATTGCTCACGTTTCTAGACGAGAAAACGTCCTGCCAACTTTTCTCCCCATATCGGTGCTGTCGGTGCTGCCGCTGGCCCCGCTAGCCATGAACTCGATAACGACGCAGACATTCATGGCTATTCCCTTGAAGGCCACGGCCAAAGTCACATCAACATGCCTCAGCAGTTGCCCATCGACCAGTTTGGCCTCGACTTTATGCCCAACGAGAATGTCATGAACAGTTCCCAGTTTCAGCAAAACTTTGGCTTTTCTCCTTCCACCTCACCAATGGTCTCCAACGGTCCCCTCTCGTCTTTTAACAACTCCATGGCACCATCCTCGCTTAACACCACTGACTTTTACTCGCCCCCCGCCTCTGCCTACCCCTCCGCTGTCTCGACCCCGCATGGCATGGATACAGACCACTTCTCTTTCAGCCCGCAAGATGCCCGTCAGCACGCTCATGGCTTTCAGCAGCAGAACGTGAATCA